GAGAGATCACAAGTAGGCAGAGAGGCAGGCGGGGGGCGAGGGGAGAAGGCTCCCTGATGAGCAGAGAGGGCTTGATCCCAGGACCCTGAGATCACGACCTGAGCTAAAGGCAGAGCCTTAACCATTGGGCCACCCAGGTGCCCTTAAAGCAAAATTTAAAAAGTCAAATTTTTTACGTAGCAATTCATGATGGAAATTTAGTTTTAAATTTCGTTCAAAAGGTTTGTACTACCCTACAATATAAGACAGTATATACATTTACGAAGTATGAAAAATGTTAATATAAATAAATTACAAAAATTAACTTAAGTTTTGAAGTTTTGTTTGGTTGGTTTTAATGTTTTTAAGAGGGGAAAAAAGAAAACACACTGATTTTATCTAGGCCACTCTCCATCTTACTCATCCTTGCTTTTTCCAGCACCTAATACTATCCTTCATGTATAGAACATATTTACTAATGCCTTCAGATCAAAAAATGTTCTATGCCATATTCTGGCTCTCCTGATGACACAAAATGATGTCATTACTCTTCATGACTAGCCAATTCATTCATGCAACCATAACCCCGAGGCACCACTATTCACCTGGTATTGGCATATGAAACACAATGTGAAGGAAATAATTGCTTCAGAAATACACACCTATAGGGGCGCCTGGGTGGCTCAGTGGGTTAAAGCCTCTGCCTTCAGCTCGGGTCATGATCCCAGGGTCCTGGGATTGAGCCCCGCATCAGGCTCCCTGCTCAGCGGGGAACCTGCTTCCACCTCTCTCTCTCTGCCTGCCTCTCTGCCTACTTGTGATCTCTGTCAAATAAATAAATAAAAATCTTAAAAAAAAAAAAAAGAAATACACATCTATAAATTTAGAAACTTCACAGAGCTATTCCATGTAAATGAATTTTCCAAAATAACTGATGCTTATCCTTTAAATTACCATAACTTATATTTAAATAATCTTAATGGAAAAAATTAAAAAAAATTTTTTTTAAGATTTTATTTGTCAGAGAGACAGAGAGAGAGAGACAGCACAAGCACGGGGAGCAGCAGGCAGAGGGAGAAGCAGACTCCCTGCTGAGTAGGAGCCCAATGTGGGACTCAATCCCAGGACTCTGGGACCATGACCTGAGCCAAAGGCAGACACTTAACTGACGAACCACCTGGGCATCCCTTAATGGAAATATTTTAAAAGCGATTTCTAGGTCTTCTTTGCCTTAATCTGCACATGACACAACCTTTTCTTGATGACTCAAGCTCATCAATGTAAATATCAATTATTAGCCTATTCTGTAACACAGTGACTCTTGGAGTTACTGAAAGGTATCTAACTTAACTGTTTATCTCTTCATTAACTCATCCTAGACTACTTTTAAAGACAAGGTTTCCTACCACCAGATCCCTATTATCACTTAAAAGCCACCAGTACCCTGGCCAAAGTTTGTAAAATGCCAGTTTCAGTTTAAACTATGTAAAATCAGAAAAGGCAGTTGATATACTTAGCCTTACAAAATTTTAAATCAAGCCATGATGTAACTATTTTCACTGCTCTAAGGCCTGGCTCAAAGGTTTTTCTCCTTTCACTTCCTAGTTCTGAGACCTAGTGGCTGTTTGTTGCTAGAAGTTTGGCCACAAAATAACAATTACAGTAATAGTTATTTCTGCACATTTTCTTTATTTTTACTATGACAGAGGGAACAAATATAAATGACAGTCATAACAAACAGCACCAAACAACCATGTAGACAAATGATATAAGGCATCTCACTTCATGTGCTGTAAGGACAATTACCTAGTCCAATTATTAGCCAGAAGTCTGCAAACTAGGTCCACTGGCCAAATACAGCCCACAGAGAGCTTGTTTTTGTTTGGCCCTTGAGTTAAAAATGATTCTTATATTTATAAAAACTCATTTAAAAAATAAACAAAAAAGAATACTCAGAAGAGACTATAAGTAAACTGCAAAGTGTAAAATACTATCTGGCAGTCTGCAGAAAAAGTTTGCTATTCTTGATCTAAGCTGTAATAAACACACACATATAAAACATATATAGCTATCCCTTACACATAAAGCTTAAGGTATTAATATGTCAAAGTAGACACATAGTTCTTTCAGTGATGAGTTCTTAAGGATACAGCCAAATTATCTTCTCCAGCCCTGCCTAATCCTTTTGATCATGACCTGGGGCTTAGCCAAAATCTGTAGGCAACCTTCTCTCTTTCTTCCTCTTAATACTTACCCTTGGATGCTCTCAGACTGGTCTCCCTGCTCCTACTTCCAGCCCTGGATGTCAATCTTTTCTGGAATGTCTTTCCTTTTGCTAAGTTTTCCCCAAGCTTCAAGTCTGACTTCTTACAAATGCCTTCTATGATCTTCCAGCCCTCAGTGGCCTCACCTTCTCTCGAATTACAGTCCTTTCCACACAATTTAATAATAACAGCTTATATTTTTGCTAATGATTTTCTGTGTGTTAGTCTAGTATCCATAACTATTTTCTAAACAACTTGAAGGAAAAATATCATACTGCTTTAGTATCCCCACTTTAATAATAGCTCATCATCCTCTAAGCCCAAGTCATCTCCCAATTGTACCTCTCTATCTTGGAGAAAAAATAACCTGAGGACTGGTAATGGGTGATAAGTGATTGGAAATACCGAAAGATAACACCCACAAAATAACTTGATGGAAGAAGATAAGTTACACTGCAAACTTAGAAAGTGTATGTGAAAGACAAACTGTAATAGTGGAAGGACAGAGAAATAAGGATCAAGAGATTAAAAGATCACTGACTTAATCTCACAAAACTGAGGGTTGCTGGGGGGAGGGGGGTTGGGGGGGTGGGGTTATGGACATTGGGTAGGGTATGTGCTATGGTGAGTGCTGTGAAGTGTGTAAACCTGGAGATTCACAGACTTGTACCCCTGGGGGGAAAAAAAAATATATGTTTATAAAAAATAAAATTAAAAGATCACTGAATAATACTTTGAAATGAGATCAAAATATTAAAAATATAAAAGCTTACAATATAAGTTAAAAGAACAAAATTTGCCTTTCAACACTAATTGGCCATTAATTTCCTTTTAACAAGCAGCTCTTGACATTGATATCCATAAGAACCCTTTTTTTTTTTGCAATGTGATAGATAACTGAAGCACTGAACGATTCAATGGGATAAACATACACTGTATTCTAACTCTTTATATTTTTCAAAATTCTAAATTTATTTGAAGTGTGCTAGAGATGAGAAAAAAAAAATCCCCTATCAATTGATTACCTGGCTAATAAAATTGGAAAGCATGGGCATATCCCTACATCACTCTTAATGATAACACCTAGACTCAATTTCATAAAAAAATGCACCCAGAATATAAAAAAAAAATTTTAGTACTTCATCAAACTATTAAATATAAGGTACACAAGACTTGCATGTATGAACATAAAAAACAAATGTTTTAAAACAATCATATACATTACCCATGAGTTTAAACTAAAAATACTGCATATTATAAATTAAGTGCTCTTTACCTAAGTAAAGCTACAAGACAAGGAGAATATTAATCATATATTCCTTCTTTTTGTCCTGGGTTTTACAGTCTCTCAGTCCTGACCTATGCCTGGCTGGTCAGAGAAGAGGGAAACAGTTTTCTTAATTAGTAATAAAATATGCCTAATATTATACTGTAGAAATCTTACAACAAAAAATTAATTATTAAATGCATGGTAAAATGAATCAGCTCTCAGTTACTCACATGATGAGGGGAAGTGATGACACAGATGACACCAAATGATAATCCTAGCATCAGTTTTTTCAAATGCACATCATTAATTTGGAAGAAGGAAACTGCCTTTATGATTACATCTGACTCAGGCCAGGGTTAACCAGAATGTTTATATTCACTAAACATTCAATGATTTTGAGGTTTTGAAAGGAGAGACAAAAGGGAAAAAGAGGGAGTTAATTCAAAAGCATACAGGTGGCTAATGGCAACCAGCCTGGGATAAAAGGTCAGCCTACATAAGAAAATTGAGAAATGGTCTGTGAAGAAAATGAAAACAAACAAACAAAAAACCAGTAAAACTTACCAGGACAGTGCTAAAATTTTTAAATAGAATGTTATTTGTAAAAATTTTAATGATTTTTTTTCCTCTTAAGTTATCCTTTCTTCCCACTAACTAGTATTATTAGTGATGGCAAGAACTACCAGTGGGCCAAAAAGCTGAAAGGAAATTTTAGGTCCTACGTTACAAAAGATGTATTAAAAATCCTTTTATCACTCTTTTCTGTTAAGCCCACCATCTGTCTTAATAGGCACTTTATCTCATTACTCGAGAGAAATCAATTCAACCAAGAAAATACCAAAAAGGCAGAGGAATCATTCCTCTGGAATATTTTTAGGTGATTCAAACAAAACTTACACGATGGCAAGAATTACAGATTTAGCAAATACACAAAAACTAAATATTTATCCAAAGACAAGATCACAGCCACAAATCTCAATTAGTTGCTACCTAACATATGGCTCCAACTTCTTGAGTGGCATATGTTTAGCTCTGGTGCTGGTAATAGCATGGTGGTAAAATAGTATAGTAACAGTTCAACTTTAGTTATTTCATTTTTAATAATACAGAAAAACACTCCAACTTTGGTTACAAGAACTAAAAACAGAGACCACAATAAGAAACAATTATGTTGCTCGGTTTTAGAAGTCCATACCGAACACATATGAGGATTACAAGGCAAAAAGAAAAAAAAAATCTTACCAGCTTATTATCTTAGTTAGAAGATGCTTAGACACAAAGGTGGCCAAAGAAACTTAAACAAAATTTCACAAAAGAAAATCTCTGAATTCACGATCCCTAGCACCTCAGCAACCATTACACCCCCCCCCCCATATCCCAAGGTTTTCAACGCTGTTTGATAAAGGAACGATCAACGACTACTTCAATTACAACAGCCCGCTGTGCTCCCGACTGTATGACAAAATTATTTGTTCATTTTCCTTTACCTAACGCATGGCGTCCCTCCACAGCCGTGTCAAAAGTTCAAAGATCCAGGTTGTTAAACAGGGCGAGCACCGCAGCCCCGAATCAACCTCCTGACTGAACAGGTGGTTAACTCAGCCGCGTAGAGGAACGGCCAGGTACTGGCACCAGCCAAACAGGATCAAACACACCAGGGCGGGTTTTCGAGGTTTTAACCCCAAGATGAACGGGGGAAAGTCTCTTCAGAAAAAAAACGTTCAAGTCCGGCGACTGCCCGGCGGCCAAAGCCTAAGGCACGGCAGCCGCTCGGCGATCTGCTCGGGCGGGCTGCGTATACGACCCCCTGAGCCTCCGCGAGCGGCGCTGCTCACCGCCGGCCGGGGTGGGGGTGAGGAGGGAAGGCCGCCCGCGCCGCCTCCTCCGGCTGGTGGCGGGGCCGCAGTCGCGCCCCCCACAAGCGCCTGCGGGCGAGACTCGGGCCCGGCAGGTGGCCGACAAGTTGACGGGTCCTGTCCCCAGCCCCACTCCCCCCTGTCCACAGCGCGCCCACAGGACGGGGTGGGCCGGGCCCCTCGACGGGCCGGATCCCGGCTCGGCGCCGCGGCCCCTCAGACCCAGCCTAACGGTTTCCGTGGCGCCTGCTCCGCGACGGGAATGGGACAGCTCGGTCTCCCCCGCCTTCCCCGATGGGAGCGCCCGCGCTCTCACCTCCGAGTCACGCCGCTCAGAGGCGGAGGAAGGCGGCTACCCTGGCGCCTCTTCTTCGGGTTCCTGATCGTTCTCGCTCTACCTCAGCGGCAGAGCCAGCTCTCGGGGCCGCTGCGGCCGCCGGCGCACTGACTGTTGGGGTGGTTTTCCGGCAGTGACGGCGCCGCCTCAGCCCCGCTCTTCGCTCCCTCTCCGCGTAGCTCCCGCTTTCTGTTTCACCCGAGGGACCACGAACGCCGCCGCCGCCATGCTTACTACGGAGCCGGGAGGAGGAGCCCCGAATCGGCGCGCCCAGTGCGGCTGCGCGAGCCTCGCCGACGGCGTCCCCGGCCGGCCCGGACCCCGCGTTCCCGCCCCGCGCCCGAGCCTACTGCCCTGCGGGTCTTTCCCGGCAGCGCGAGTCGCCCGCCGAACCCCTAACGCTGGGCGTTCCAGCGCCCCCTTACCGCTCCCAGGGCGCCCACCGCCCTCCCGGGCTGCACGCTCTGTCCTGAGGCCTGGCTGCGCTAGGTTCGACTTAGCATCTGCCGCGGCCAGCCGGAGAGCAACACTAGGGAAATGTGGAGTTAATTGACTTCCTAGGGCCACTCACGCAATTCTCAGTCCAAATTGTAAAAGGCTCCCTCTGAGACGCGCCGGGTCAGCCTCTTTCGGAAAGCACAAGAACTTAACGCTGGCAGGTGCTTTTAAAGACACTCCCCCAAGGAATAGGAAGCCAAGCGAAGTGGGTTGGATATTTTCCATCCTAAACACTTAGAGCCCCGGATCTCTACGGCAAGCAAAAATATTTAGATAATTACTTCAGTTGAAAACGTGGGGCTTAGTTTCCTGGTCTGTTCCCCAGCCAAATCGCATGAAAACCCATTACCTTAATTTCTACAACAACGCGAAGCTTACAAGTGAACGGAGCAGAGATTCCTTTAAACCTCCAGCAATGGGGGCGCTGCAATAATTCCCAAGGGCCGGCCAGGGCTGCTTACTTTTGCAGATTCCACTAAAAGTCTTGGGAAGGGGGTAGTCTTTGGGACCGAGAGTCCGACTCCAGTAACTGTCCCTTCAAAAACAGTGATGAATGTAACCAGGCTCCCTGTTCTAGCTTTATTTCACTTTGTTCATTGTGCTGCATTTTAATATAGCAGTATTTTTATTTTAAACCTGCTACAGAAATCCTCTTAAAATCTACTTACTCCCTACATTCTTAAAGAGTACAATGGTTAATGAAACCCTTTGTCCACGGTTGACCATCAAATATGATACCTTGGCCATATGCTGAAGTCCCAGGGATTGCTGAGGTATATAGGATCACTATTTTGGTGATGTCTTTTTTTTTTTCTCTGCGGAATGTTCTCATCACCTTTTCTAATAATCTGTCACTGCTTCTCATCTCCTCATCTGTCTCTTTATCCACTCTGAGCCTTCCCCTCATCCTTTCTACTCTACTGTTTATTTTTTACTCTTTTTTCTTGATGGCATTTCTCTGGCTCCAGGTGATGATTGATCAGATATTTATATCCACAGCCAGCTAAGGAGAGAATCTTTTTCTTCCCATCAGTAAATAGGACAGTGACTCTATATCAAGTGATATTTTGAGATATTTTTATTGCTGTTCACTATCAAAAGTTCTTTCCCTGTGAGAGGTGTTTTCTTTCTTTAACTTCCGGTTTGGGCCCTCTTCCAGACAAAATTGCTGGAAAGCTGATCTCGGAGTAACTGAAGCATAACTGTATATTGTTTTAAAATATGAGTATTTATCAGAGTGTGGGCAAGTTGGGTGGCTTCTCCATATTGCTACCCTAGCTCTGTTTGGTTAGAGACTAAGCTAGTGGTTTCCAAACCTAATTCTAAGCTAGTAATTTCCAAAGCTTCCTTCTTGGGAGTTTTTTAAAAGGCCAGAATCTTGTAATCTACCCCTTAAGATTTTGTCTGAGGAGGGGACAGGGAACAGGAAATGGCATTTTTTAAAACACTGTATTTTTAAAAAGTATCCTGGGCATTCCTACATGTATAGGCACAACAAAGAAGAACAGTTATTTTGAAGGAGACTAAGACATAATTCCAGAATATCACTGAAGTAGATATAAAGATTGCAGTCAACAATATGCAACACTGGAAGGTTGAGTCAAGTGAGGACTGGGGAATTTATGTCCTGTGGAGAGAATGAATCATACACATAAATAACCCTAACACAGGCACCAGTATGAATTCTCTGGGAATCTAGAAAGGCACAAGAATTTACGTCAGCTTTGAACAAGTCACTTCTCAGTACTTCATTTTTCTTCTCAATAAAATAAGGGTCATTTTCAATCATCTATCTTAAACTCTCATCAATACTCAACACTTTGGCCAATTATTTCTTTGAATATTACTTCTTCCTTTGGCCTTATACTCTTGGCATTTTTTTCCTGCACTTCTGAGTACTATGTCTCCAATTCCTGTGCAGTTTCCTTCTCCTCTCCTTTTTGTTTTCATTATAACCTCTTGACCTAAACATCATTATCTTCACCAATGGCTTTAGTTATCTATATGCTGATAATATATGCTGGGCTAGAGACAGAGGTGTCTCTAGCCCAGACCCTTCCCCTAAATTTCAAATCTGATACCTACTCTTTTATTGACATGTTTACTTAATGTCTTATAGCTACAAAGTGTGGTTCAACTGAGTTTATAAACTCTTCCTGTATTCCTTTCTCCTCATCTATCCAGTTGTAATAGTCATCTCTGGTATCTCCCTCACCCTCATTTTCCATATTCATTGTAGCTTCAAGTCCTGGCAATTTTATCTTTCAAAACTCTCAAATTGGTCCACTTTTTACCAATTGCCACTAATGCAATCTGGCCTCACGTATACAATCTAAGCCCTTTCAATTCATTTTCCACTTTGCAGCCAAAATGATCTTTTTTGGTTATTTTATTATTACTTTTTAAGAGAGGGGATGAGAGAGAGAATGAGGGGAGGGGCAGAGGGAAGAAAGAATCCTAAGCGGGCTTCATGCCCCGCACAGAGCCCGATGTGGGGCTCAATTCCACAACCCTCAGATCATGATCTGTGCCAAAATCCAGAGTTGGGCACTTAACTGATGAGCTGCCCAGGTGCCCCTGCAGCCAAAATGATCTTTCTAAAAGCAAGTACGACTATGTCACTTCCATCTAAAACCTTTAAACAAGCTTTTATTCTAATATATGACTAGAATTCTTAAGGTGGCCTACCAGACTGCATGAGGTCTTACTTTTTCCAGTTTCATCTCCTACCACTCTCCCCTTGCTTCCTGTATAGAAAACTTCCTGACCTCCTTTTAGTTTCTCAAATGTGCTGTGATTCCAGCAGCCACAGGCTCTCTGCACATTCCAGTCTTCTCCTTGTAACCATCTTATCTCTTACTCAGGGAGTAATAAAAACATTTCTGACTTCCCAGAGGAGTTCAAGACCCCTTGTTCATGTCCGCTCCCCTACAGTGGGTATACTTTCCCTCTATGACCCTATAGCTTGCAACATATGTGTGAATATTGAGTATATTGAGTATATTTCCATTGCTCTCTTCAAGAAGAGAAGGACTGTGCCTATTTTTGCTTACCCAGTGCCTGGCATGTGGTAGGCCCCTTAAATACTTCCTGAATGGTTGACTTTGTTCTTGGAGGTCCCTTCAAGGATTCTAGAAGGTTATTGAATCATATAATTAGGAAGGAGATTACTGAGCACTTTTAAGACAGCCATCTTCTGTATGATTAATAGGAAGAGATTCAAGAATATGTTAGGAGACAATTCTCCATAAAACTGTCATGTTTCTGTATGTTTCACGAGCAGAGGCAGAAGCAGCTTTGGTTCCAGATTATCTGTCTTTTCCAGGATGTTTGTATAAACAGACAGCCTTGGAAGGTAGAAATAGTGTCTCCCACTGCTGCAATAGAGGGGATTTTTTTTTTAACCATTTAGCATGAAAATATCATCTTTTGTGGTGAAGGTTAAACAGCTTTGTTTGCAGCCCATTGTAAAAGTTTGGGGAGTTCTAAGCTTGCGTTCCTCAGCTGTGATGCAGACCTACTGCATATGTGACATCCCCTGGTCCACTCCATGTTGTCCCTAGGTGAAAGCAGGGAGACAAGGGAATTGCCGTGAACATGAAGCTGGTGCTGCTTGCTGTGTCATATGTAATACAGTCCTCTGACCTAGAAGACTCAGATCTTCTGCTAGCACCCAAGAAACTGTAGCAGGCTAAATTATTAGCTTGCAAGGGACATAAAATCTCAGACACGTCACAACACTTGACAAGATACAGTGGGTTGAGGAGAAAGAAAGAGATAAAGAAGTCAAAGAGCAAGCGGAAACTTGTCTTTAAAGAAGACGGCGGGGGGGGTGGAGTTTGGTGAGGAAGAGAGATGGGAAAGCAGATCGATGTGGAGGTGTTGTGCCGACTGAGTTCTCTGAGCAACATTTGGAGCTCTAACTCTGGGCAGAGTCAGAGAAAAGACTACTGCCTTTGCTCCTCTTTTCAGATGGAGAAGTGCTATACATCCGGTAGAAGAGAGGGAGGTGAAAGCAATTGATCAGGAGGTAGACCAGTTAAAATAGTCAGAAGCTTTTTCACCCTTTGT